TTTTTAAATTTCACTGTGAAACCAAACTGAATCTGGTTTCATCATGAATTTTTACCTATCTTATAAATCTTGTCTTATATATATTTTAATTCTTTATCATTAGAAGGCACTATATTTTGAAATTTCTTTGCATGTTCCTGTTTGATTAATGCATGTAACACTTACCCTCTCCACCATAAAGTCTATTGAATCAGCTATGTCCTCATCAACTTCTTGTGTTGTGAAATTGTTCATGATCATTTTCTTCAAGACAAAGGCAGGCATTACCCAAAAGCTGTTAAAAAAGAAAAAAAAGAGGAAATAAATGCAAAAATTAAAATTAAGGAGACTTGCTAAGTTATGCTGAGATCAATGATGTCTTTACTGGAACAATTACCAAACTTCCCTTTTAAAAATTAATTCTTTCCAATGGCTAGGGAGGTTATATCAACCAAAATCCTAAATAATGCAGGAAGTAATAGACTTTTCATTGTCTAGGTGATTGCATTCTTACTAGTGGGCAACAATAATCTGATACAATTGTTTTTGAAAGTCCATCCTGATCACTTCAGTCGGGCAAGGTAGTCATTAAGAGCGAACACATGTACAAGTTTATCACTTCTCATCAGGGGATGTTATCATGACCATCAATGTATTCTACAAGGAGGGGAAAAAATAATCGCCCTATGCATTGTTGTACTAAACTACAATAAGTAATGTTAACTGTGTCCTTGAGCCAAACAACCAACCCAGTCAGAGCTTATCCCAGTTTCCATAGCATGAAGTGACTAGAAGTATCACCACTCACCACTCATCCCTGGATTGGATACTCTTACATCTCAAAGTAACCCCCAATTTCTTTTGTTATTGTACTTTCAGTTAGTCAACTTACCTAGAAGCAGTTGAAGTCTGCTGAAAAACAGAAGTATCAGCAAAAGCATTGCACAGAATCAGTGAATGTACTCTTGGGCTTTTGTGTGTCATTTCTGCGAACTTCTGTGCAAGGAAACCTCCAAGAGATGCCCCAAATATATGGACCTAAAAAAGAGGAAAATTTATCAAGTAAGGACCACTGACAATTACTTTTCAAGATACCCTAAAAATCACTTGTAGCTAAGTGCAGTAACAAGCTCATGTGAATTAAAATAAACCTTTTAGGAGGAACAAATTTAGAATTTTTAAGTGAGTAGTTGGTAAAGGGTACCTGCTTTGCAAGGGGCAGCAGAGACTTATTCACACCTTTACCACCTCCCCCCCCCCTTCCTTATTCAACCAAAATTCTTAAACATGTAAGAGAGAGAGAGACCTTTTTACTTTTACCAGGTATTTTTCCAGGTTTGCTTTCATGGTTATACAGGGACCATCTACCTGGATTTATCCTTCACCCCTCTCTGGATAACTCTGGTGGTAATCATTACCAAAACACAAAATTTTATTTGCAAAAGATGTGACTCTCAGCCTCTTAAGAGAAATAGTCTGTAACTTTTGCACTTTTTCAAAAGATTGCAGCCACTTAAGCTCACCGATTTGGCTGAAATTTGGTATGAAGGCTGATGTTAGGGTCCTATTCATGAAATGGATATTAAAAAGTTCCAGTAATGTTGTTTTTGCTTGACAAAATTGATAAAGCCAGCCTAATCTGCCCATACTTGCCCACCAACATGGTATATCAAAGGTGTTCTTAGGACTTCAACTTGAGTCCTGTCATAAAGATTTCCTGACATTTTGGGAGCAGCTCCAAAGTCAGCTTACTGGTCCAAAATAAAGGTCTAGGTACATATTTCCTCTGGAATAAAAGCAAATTTCTAAGTTTCCCCAATAGTATGGAAGAATCTGTTGATTTTAGGCAAAAGCAAATATCTCTGAGCGATACTGTAGCAATAGGATAAATATTTGGTTACCCACTAAATGTAAACAATCGAGTTGCCATTAACACATGAAGGGGTTGATTTTAATTACCATTTTGAGAATGAAAAATTTTGAAAAGAAAAGATTCTTGTGAATTCCAACCTAGTTCTTTTGATGGCGGTTGGTGAGTTACTCAATTTTGATGCCTATAAGCTTCAATTGATACTACTTGTCACACCTTGTTATGTAAATTACATCATGTTTTTGAGTCGGTTTTTGTTTTGTTTTTTGTTTGTTTTAACATTTTTTATTTCTATAAAGAAAACCCAACGTTTCAGGATGCTACCTTGCAAATTGTTCTTTTTCACCAATGGTGAGCACAAAATGCATACATAAGGTGCTTCCACTAAGGACATCGACATGAATTGAGTGTTGTTTGAAATAAACATCACCTTGATGGAATGTGCAAGCAATCGTTAATTTAGCTAACTCTAAGATCTTTTCTGTTTTGAGAGACTGTTTGTGGAGGATATTTAAAAATATATTTTTTTGATGACTCTATGCTAGCTACTTGTATACAAGGTCTAGAGTTTTAAAGCCTAAAAATTGAATAGAAAGTCACAGTCGCTGAGTTTTCCTTTTTCAAAAAAATGATATTGGCTAGGGCATTGAACATGATTTTGGCCCCAGGAGCAGGAGTTTATAGGAATTAATTTTCAAAAGTTCAAATAGCTGCAGGGAGGAAGTTGAAGTTTCAAATTGATCATCGCATAAGCATGAAATTTGTCTCATGACCTACTCTAACCCACAGTAATTGAATTTTACATCTAAAAGAAGCATCAATGAGGTTTAAACCTCGTAAATGAGGCTTCATGTCTCAAGTACACCATGATAGGTATATGAACTTGCTCTAGGTGATGGCATATGTGAAACTATCCTCAGCAAACCTTGAGAAACCACACTTGACCAAAATTATTCTTGAGCATTCTCTTCATGCAATATCATAAATAAATGGAAAAAAGACTAGATTGCTTAGGGTTAGTAGTTATGTTAAATCAAAAGATATTTCCATAGTATAAAGACAGAAAATTTCTGGACGGTAAAAGAACCTTAACCATTTTCTTCTGATCAGCAAATTAATTTAAGAGCTTTTAGGACTAGGTCCCAAACATAGCAAGGTAACAACAGGTTGATAATTTTTTTTTCCATGACTCCTTTCTTTCTCCTATTTTTTTAACTTATGAAATCTGTTCATCTATGAACAAACGTTATTAATAGTAAATGGTAACTTTGGAAGCAAGGTAAGGCTGGAGATTTTAGGTTACTAAGTTGGGATAAATTTTTCACTGTTCAAGACAGCCTAAAGTGCCCTTAAAATGTTGGGATCATATGTTGTTAAAACCAGATTTTTCCCATATTTGTTTCAATAAATGTTAAGAGGAAGGGAAGATCTTTTCATGGATATCACAAGATTTTGAGAAAGCTTTACAACAGGACTTGAATTGAATCCAAAAGATCACCATCGATCTGCCCATATTGGCAAGCAAGTATGGGCAGACCATGTGCAATTTTCTAAATTTTTTTTTGCCAAGAAAAAATAACTGGAACTTTTTAATATCCATTTCATAATTAGGAACCTAAAACAAGACTTCATGCCAAATCAGTGAAATGAAGTGGCAGACAAAAGTTCGAAAGTTACAGACTATATGCTTTTTGTTCCCTCTGCAATATATACACCAACCTCATCTAGTTTCAGGTAATCCAAAAGTCGTCTGAAGCCTTCAGTCCACTCACCATATGTCCAATACACAGGATACTCTACCTGAAAACATTGTTGAAGATTTAAGATTTAGCATGTTTTGAGGAAAAATTGAGGCAAGTGCCTTCACCGTAATACACCTAATACACCTGAGTCAAGTCAGAGTCACTTGACTCTGATGATGACTTTTGCCAGTCAAAATCCACTGACAACAGCTTTTCTCAGGACTACCCTCACCCAGACAAAAAATAATATGATCAAATGGTTTCAAATCATTACTTAATAACACTATGATCACTGAAAAGGAAACAGAACTTAAAAAGATATCCATTGGACTTGTGATTAAAACCTTTAAATCCTGATATCAGCATGCATATTCTTGACACTGTTCTCTACACATTTCCTAAGATATTGACTAGGAGAATTTGTGCAGCGATCCAAAGCTTCTTTAGTCGCTGATTATTTCTTTAATTCTTGTGACTTTAACCCTTTCACTCCCACAAGTGACCAAGACAGAATTTCTCCTTACAATATCAATACAATATCAAGCTGGCAGGTGATGAGAATAGAGAAGAATATCAATAATGGGATTATTAGTTGATCCAATACCAAATTCTCTGAACTAACATCATAAGAATTGTATGGCAAATAGTAAGGAGAATTACTAATTAGATCTTGGGAGTGAAAGGGTTAATGTGTGATTCACAGAAGACATCAAGGAGATATGTAAGGAGGAACTAGATCCTAGTTTCTCTCAGGGGATGAAAGAATTAGTACAGGTTTACTCCAGCATTAGGTAAGAGAGGCAAAATATTGCTAAAATTTTAGGTATAGTGTACTCAGTACTGGATGACTACTTTCTTCAAAGTAAAATGGTCATAGTAGATATCCATTATGTCATATTCTTGTATTCTGTATCAAAAGCCTGATGAGAGTTGTCAAACACAAGAGTACTGGCCATCCTTTGTTTTCATAGTATTTTTCAGTAGAACTGATAGGAGATTTGAGAAGGAGAGGGTGCATACATTTTCTTTTCATCATGTAAAACACACACAAATCAAAATTCTTCCATTTGCCACCACAAAGGATAACCCTTGAAACATCAGCTTTAAAACCTCTTTATAGTAGTCAGTTTTCATTATCAATTCAGTAAGTAAAACCAAATTATCTTGTTATACCCTTACTGACACAGCACCATAGTTTCTTGAAAATTTACCCCCTTACTTCATTTGCCTATTTTATATACTTGGTTGCTTGGAATTGCATTTATTCTGAGGGAGTGCTCATTTGAGGATAGGTGATAATTGAATTATTTATTTTAATTATGAAACTTACAGATATCACCCTGTAACCAAGACTTGAGAGGGTAAGAATTTGTTTGAAAAACACATCAGCAGTACCACTAGCAGGGGGTAAACAAACAAGGGGGCACTGTACACTACGAGGACCTGCATCATATATCAACCACTCTTTTTCATCATCATTATCGACAACAATCTGTAAATGAAAAAAGAAACTATACTACATATCAAATTTATTATTTATTTAGTAGCGCACAATAATCGAGAGGAATTCTCTTGAAATTTCAATTTGTCAAAGAAGAACCACACATGCATTCATACAACTGCAGATCAACCATGAAAATTGGGTATTATGTCTGAAAAGTAACTGTATGGATTCACTTGTTCAGAATTGAAAGCCCTTCATGTCATCATCATCATCATCTTTTATTTGCCTTATGTACACAATACAAAAAATTTATTTACAGCAGTTATAGCTAGAAGGCAACAAGACCCAGGAAGCCACTGGGTTTATGGGAGAGCCACCTCAACGTCAAGTGTGAATTTGGTCAATTTTAATGGGATTGACAGGAAAAAAAATTACCTGATTTCCTCTCCTGCAAAGAAAGATACCCAAATTTACTTTAACCCACAATTTCAATGTTGTGGGTTATGAGAGAGGAGCTTAGAGAGTTTGCTCTGTACAAGTTAGATGACAAAAACCAAGAGAGTAGACATCTACATTGGATGAAGAGAGTCAAGACTGGGAACCTACAGAGAGAACATTTCCTATAATAGTGATGGGATGGTTAGATGGGGAAATTGGAAAAGGGATTTTTCCAAGTTGAAGAAGACATCTCCCGCACAATGAAATTAAGTAAAATGTACCTTGCACAAGAAACGATTTGTAATCTGCGCAAAATAATAAGCTAAATGAAGTATTCTATAATACAAATAATTGTCTAGTCCTCCTTAATACAGTGAACAATTTATCATACGGTCAACGAGAAGAGATTCAGAAAATTTTGTAAAATGCAACGAGGCATGTCAAAAAGCATTTCCCTTTGACTTCCGTCGAAGTGTATATATGCAATATTGTTTAAATATTTTTTATTAGCACTAATATTCACAATATGGAGGAAAAGTTTCATCCATTGAAGAAAAAAACTTGTCTTGAGCAATCAGTGCATGTGAGACCTCGAGTGATCAAAGTTGGACCGATCATGTTAGCGCAAGCATTGCACGAGAAATGTGCATGATCCTTGAACAGATCAACGCGTATTTGAATCGTTGATTCGTAACATTCTGAAATTCAATATTTTGAGCAATAAACTTCGTGAAAATAGTATGAATGTGTACAGCTTTTTTACTTACCCGTTTCAAAGGGACAGAACTGCGAAAGCTTATGTATTCTTGAGATCGTGTAATTGCGCTCGCACCAGCCGCCATATTGATAAAGCTCAACTCGATTCCAGATCTCCTGTGTGTTTTTTTATGGATGAAGAAGCGACTGAAACAATCGAATTTGTCCAACCTAAAGCTTGAGGTAAATCATGTACAAAACTCCTCCATGAATGCTTAGTAATTGAAGTTCCGGAGGCTCGAAAGGAACTTAAAATGAAATGTAATCCTTTAAACTAAAGTTGGACTCAGTCCTTATTGGGGTCTGAGCAAACACATCGTGTTGATTGAGGACTGGGACTAATGAAAATGAACGCGCACGAAATTCGTACTAAAGGAGGTTTTTTTGTTTTTTTAAGGAAAATTCTTTATCTTTCGTTTAAAAGATGCGTGTCCTTTACTCAAAAAAATAGGGAAGCAGGAAAGCAAACTAACAAGGAAGATAAGTCACAAAGTCCGGATGCAGATTACAAAGTCCAAGGAACAATTTTAGGAATCTTACATGACGTATATATCGAAATCGCAGCACAGCAGTTGTTGTGTAGTTCCGGGTTTGCTGAACTCAAGACGACGGGGTAAGCTAGATTCTTTACCTCAATCATTTTATGTAGATAGAGCAATGCTAATGCATGGAAACATTTCTTAAAACTTAGCCG